ACACGTACTAATAAATGAGTTTTATTCGGAACAGGGCATGCGCGATATGAGTCACATTTTCTCAGCTCATCACACGCTTAAATTCCCTCACGCAACTCAGACTGTTACCTTGCACTCTTTCCTTGTGTCCCTCATTATCTTTATGAGCTGCGTAACATATAAAGTCAATATTTCTCTTTGAGACGTAAGCTCATGAGTGAGAGATGTAGATTATTCGCGCTGTGTTTCTAAACTGAGAGACACGGTAGGGGAGTAAGTTATCTCTAAATATAGCACATACAACCAAGGAAAAGTGAAATCACAGAACAACCAAATATCTGCATTACCATGGTATCTACATTAAGGATTGGGAGTCTTGAGGAAGTGAGAGAGCACACAGGGAATAATGAGACGTCTCAACATTGCCGAGACAGCAGACAAAACCATTCTTCAGGAAACTGCAGTAGTAGCATGGGCACTTGTAGGAAGTTAGAATTAAACGGAAGAGAGATTTGTTCGCGGGAGAGGGGTATACGAGTAAGCAACAGAAGAACAACAGGAAAAGTAAAATACGCAGCTTTATTGCTGTTGCGTTCATGTAGCTTGACGACAAAAGCAAACGCAAATGCAGAAGTAGATGGTAGATAAATCAGTTGAAGAAAAGATGAGGAAGAAAGTCAACAGCCAAAGCAAAGGCGACCAAAAGAACGAGATATTCTTCTATTAGATGACACCCTTCTTCTGGATAGACGACAGAGATAATCTAAGGTACATGGCAGTTAAAGGAGGCTTTAAATTACTCTAATTCTCAGTCTCTAGTCTTTTCTGTCATGTTAGAAAAATGGTTGTGATTGGTGTGTTGTTATTATTATTATTATTATTATATTAATACTATAATTATTACTATTATATTACTATTATAATTATTATGACATGATAGAAAGATGTTGGAGAGAGACAGAAGGAAAACGAGAGAACCCGAAGAAAATAACGCTAATTCAATTTGTCCCCCTGAAATTCTTTATGCTTTGACCCGGATTTGAAATCTGGTACCCAAAGGTGGAACTACTCCCCCCGGGTAGCCCTAGACAGAGAACACGCCCAAGGCCACAAGTCGCACATGAATCCTCCGGGATTTGAACCCGGGCATCCATGGATGGTCCGACCATTCAACCACGGTCCATGCCACAACGAGGCTAAGAGCCTGCCCAAGGCCAAACGGGCCCGCCGCGCCGGGCTGGGCCGGGCGGCGGGATGAATAGCCCCGCCAGCCCCACCCCGCTGCGTCCACGCTTCCCGACGGAGGAAGCCCCCGAGGTGCGTCGCGCCGGAGGAGCTCTGCGAGAGGGTAAGGGAGGGGAGGGGGCGGGAAGGAAGCGTGGAGGGGACGCGCGTGGGTGCGCCCGTGCTGCCGGTTCGGCGCCGCGAGAAAGTGCGCTGGGCGGCGACGGCGGCGGCGGCGGCGGAGACAGCGTGCGCGCGGACGCCGGGAAAACGCCCGGAAGCTGCTTGGGAGCGCGCGGGGTTCCGCTCGCGAGGCCGCCGCGGACGTGGCAGAGCAGAGCGCTCGCGTAACACGGGAGGTACAAGAAATTCGTATAAAGAGAGAGATGAAGCACGCCCACTCGTAGATTAGACGCGCGGAAATCAGGCCCGAGGGTTTCTTTCCTCTTTATTTTTGTTTTTGGTCGTTGCGGTTTTAATCTTATATATTACTCATTACATATTTGACGATTTGGTAAAACGTCGGGATTGACATTGCCTGTTAACGGGTTTCCTGTTCCCTGAAGAAAATTACTACCAGACTTAACAGGCAATTCTGTATGTACACACAAACACATACACACAAACACACACTTCTGAACGTATGTGGGTGTGTATGTGCGTGTGGGTAAGTGTGTAGAGATTGTAAAAGAGAGAAGAATGAAGAGAATATTACCTGTCCCTTTCCTTAAGGTATGGTCTGGTATCAGATAGCCACTGATCGAAGGAAACCGTGGGCACGATTGATGAGCAGCTAACTTCCTGGATTCTCTATCAGAATATGACGTTAGTTGTCTTATCTCTTTTTCTGGGCTCGAACAATCAGCCACCATAGGCACCTGAACTAAGGACTCCGAAGTCTACGAAGCGATGTGACCATAGTGACTGGTAAACTCTTATTCGATGTGTCCGATGGCTACTCCAAGAGAATTCCTTCTATCCGAACCTTGATTTTTTGTCGCCTATTGAAACGCCTCCCCATCTCTCCACCTGACGTGGCACCACCACGTCATGGTCCACCAACGCCACTGAGCGCAGTCCGTGCGATGCTTCTGCCCGGCCTCTGCTGCAGAGTTCATTTTCTGGAGCGCCAATCGCAAGAAAAGTGTTAAGGCGAAAGAGTTTAGGCGAAAGCAAAGAACTAGTGTCAGTGTCAGACAGGTCTTTTCTCTTTTTTTTAGAAAATCAAACCTACAGTATAATTTTTTAAGTTTATTTCTAACCGATTTAAATGTTATAAAATCATTTATTTTCTCATATAATTTAACGTTAATAAGAGTTTGTACTTGTAAAAGTTAATTTATGTCAAACAAATCACGAATTTCTAACCTTAAACATATTAACGTTTAATTTATAATTATTAAACGCAATAAATTTACAAGAAATTCATACTTTTAAAAGGCTTGTTGTTGCTGTTGAGGCAAATGTTTTCAAAGGTATTATTAATTTTCTTGGCGTACCTATCAGCAATTTACTTCATTACTACTTTACTGCTTTTTACTCGGTCATATTTCGTGGTTTGTTGGGATTATTAAATGTTCTACTGTTCGTTCTACTTCGACTAGAATTTATTCTTATTCTTTAATAAAATTTACATTTTCTTTCACCGTAACGTTCACAAGTATTATAAGAGTATATTATCTAACACGTATATTATAGGAGAATTTTAATGTTTTAATGTATTTTATATTTTTGGTAACGCTATTGCACAATTTACCTTCAAGTCAGAAAACGCCTAGAAGAAAATTGTATTGCAATATAATCCGTTTGACTAAAAATCTGCAAAAATATTTTGAGTTTTTTCTACGAGAATATCCAAAAAATTAAAGTATTTACAAGGTACTTAATTTTTTAAGTTATAATAAATGCCTCGTATGTGTATATCTCAAATATAAATTCAATGGGCAATTAGTTTGAGGGCACCAATTAGAAAAATGTTTAAACGTTTAATACACTTACAGAAAATGCAGATGTCATTATTATTTGAATTTATCAGAAGTAACAGTAAACAAAAATTCGTTGCCTGGATCTTTAGGAATGTAAAATCCGCTTTAAACATAGAGCTAAAATTGAATTGGTGTCCTGTGGTGCTTATTTCGCAAAAGCCCGGATGCTCGCAATTACTTGCCCTGGTTTTCGGGAGTTGTCTCGGACCCTTGGGGCAATTTGCTTCTAGTGGCTGCGCTAACGCGAGCAGCAGTGGAACCGGGCGATCCCAGGGCACCTGCCGTGGCCCAGATGCCTCAACAGCTGTGCGAAAGCGACGCGCGGCGGCCGCCTTTCCGGCCCCGAATCGCGCGCGCCCCGCCTGCAGCACTCGCTGCGGTCGGCGTTAGACGGCAAGGCTATTGTAGTGACATAAATACTATTGTTGTGGGTACTCGATATGTTGAACACTCAAAATGTTGAATTACTCGCTTTTTCGATTTCACTTTCTACTCAGTACTCAAGGAATTCAGTAAGTAGAGGCTTGATAAATTTAAATATTTGTCAACTCGAACTTTTCGAACTTCAGATTCATAATATCTAGTTCAATTTATTTATTTAATTTTGGTATTATTATTATTACCATTTTTATTATTATTGATATTGCTATTAACTTAACCACTAGAAGAGGTACTTGTTTCTCAATAAAAATGTACCTTGCAAATATAGAATAGAGTAGGGTCTGTAAGTCAATATTTACAAACATTTTGGCAGAGATGAAAACAATTTGGAAACTCACCCAAAACGTAATAATTCATTTTCTTTTCATTTCAACTATTCGAATAGTTCGTTTCAATCTATTGATATAACTCAATATGTTCAATAAACAAAGCAATCCTCCTTATGGAGAACATTACTGACGTTCAAAAACGTTACGGTATCTCCAACCTCTCCAAACTGCAATTACTGAAAGATGGTGTAACGGGTATCCGTTTGAATTACAACGTAAAGAACAACCACGCTGCTTCAAACTGTTCCGCAAAGAAAATCTCAAGGACGTACAAACAGCCGACCATTTCCGTGTGCAACGACTTCGTAAACGTGGTCAGCTATTATTACTGTTCATGCAGCCGGCCTCGGCAGGCTGTACTGCAGTCTTTCAGGATCTTCTTTACGACCAAACCTTAGTTAAATGATAGCGTAATAGTTCATATCGGAAGTTTTATACAACTTACTTGCCTGCATGAAAATCTGTTTTCGTTTGTTTACATAAACAATTAAATTTATCTTACATTTTTGGATCAATTAATCATTTATGTTTCTTGTACTCGTAGATTTCTAATTTTACTTTCCCATATAAGCTGATATAATATCACCAAAGAAGTTTTAAAAGGACGTTTTCGTCGCCTAGGGTAGGAAATGTATATTGTCGAGAAAATTGAAAAAATAACTGAACTCTATTTCTCGGAGTCAAAATGTTGAATTTTATTATCTCGAAACCAATAATTTTTCGAACCAAAAATGAGACAAGTTGAGAAACTAGGATGCAGTGGGCTATGAATGAAACGTTCTTTAATGAAAAGTGTTTGACTTCTCGAATAGGAACATTTGAAAATGTTAACGAAAAATTGTTGAAAATTACGTTCTCTCAATTTTATTTTAATTACCAAATTATATAAATTATATGAGGATGAGCACATAGTATTGCTAAATTATCTAATTGAAGCTTGTTTATAATTCTAAGAATCGCTTATGTTAACTGATAACATGACTTTCAAAGTCAAAGTATTCCCTTCTTGGAGGTCTGGAATAAGAAAGGGATGATCGCTTACCTGCCGCCGTACAGGGGACTATTCTCATCATCGTCGGAGAAGTTGTCATCGCTCATATCATTGTTGCCCTTCAGGTTGTGAACCCCCGACATGTTGCTCTGAAACAAGAAATGCAAATGAAATCATGAGTATCGTAATACATTACTTATTTCGTGCATGGCAACCAATGAAGGATTAGACTTACATTTGTCACCATGATTCATGGGGAACGAACAATTTAAATTAGTTATACTAGAGATAATAGTAATAAGAAGCAGCAGAAATAAGTGATTTCAAGTTCTCTCATTCATAAACTAATACTAAACTTCTTTCTGATCTCAGAAAAGTTCAAGTAAAGTTGTTTTCTACAAATATTTTAAAAAATAGCTTTGGTGAGATTACAATTATCTGGAAAGGATTGAACAGTATTATTACATAATTGATATCAATATTTACTCTAACTCGATAATTTATTTACCCTAATGGAAAATGATATTGTACTTCATAGAATTCTCAGTGAAAAAGGTACTAATACTTCGAGGATTTACCTCATCCGCTCATAAGTAGGGTACGATTGATAAAATATTAGTAATGTGCAATCGTTAGTTACGACTATCTTCTTATGAACATCATTTTAAAGATTTTTAAAGACAGGATAATGTGTATAAGAAAACATGTTTTACTCCTGTGCCTTCCTTCGTAAACGAAAATACATTTTTTTCAAGAATGAAAAAAATTATAATAAAATGGTGTTATTTCGATGGTATCCTTGCACATCTCGGTAACGTAATGCCAAGAACTACGCTTAGGTTGAATTTGAACAAGCAATCCTTGGTCTGTAAAGCGCCGACATTAAATTAGACATAAAATTGAAATTTTCTGCTTGACATATAATAACAGAGCCTGACCTAGAGTTTCGTGACCCATGCTTGTGCCATGGCCTTTCGCGAGCACCGCTGACCTCGCTCGCTACCATGATATTTGCCCCGTACTGTTGAGTCGAATGACGGGGATAACTCAAGGCCTCCGAGACGGAAAGACTGTGAGCTGTAGCCAGAGCACGTCAATGAGCTTCCTCTCTTCTCATGAACAAACGGTAACACTACTCGGCGTGAAGGCCGCCCGCCTCCCCGTTACGCGCAATGGAATCGGCAGGCTCACGCTCTGGAAGCTACCGAGAGAAACTTCTGCAAACGCTCTAATGACAGCTGACGTCACGGCTCTTGATCGCGCATCTCTTACGCAACAGCGTTACCCCGTTGGAAGGGATTGGAGCTTTGTTACAACGGCGCGGAGTCTAGGCGGTGAATTGTTCAAAGGCCAGGGGCCATTTACAGATAAAAAAAAAGCTTGGTGAAAGTTTCGTGAGCCATAGAGCAAGAATCTCAAGGCTGCGAATGAAGGGATGTAGTATTTAAAAGCCGCAACCGCAATGACTGACATTTTAAAACAAGAGGATATCTCTTACTAGAAGAATTGATTTAACGCTAAACTTAGTATTCAACAAACAATCTAACGCTTTCCTGGCCTAGATTCACTTCATCTCTGTTTAAATTTCAAATTGTCTATTCAGATTAAATTCAGATCAGTTTGAAAATTGTTGAATAAATGTTTTTCCTAGTGTGAATGAAATTACAATACCCTTAAACACCATATTATTTATGGATGTCGAAAGAAGTTTTCATATGCGGTATGTTCCTCGTGATGAGTAAGCGAAGGAGCCGCTAACTAATCCGGAGATCTGACATTCATTGTCAGCCATCTTCTGTGATATGCTGCCCAATACAAAGAAGATTGACGGAACTTTCGATTTAAATGAATGAATAGAAGGAGATGTGGAATGTAAGGGCGAAGGTGTGTGAGAGGTGAACAGAGTGACAGTGAAGAGAATACTTTAGCGGATAGCTCGTGCTTACAGACTCCGCGGATAATGTGGGTATGATAGGTAGCTATACTCACTCGAAAGATTCAAATTGGATAAAATACCCACACGGGGTTTGGAGTGAGAGAAATATTCTATAAACGCCAGATTCCAGAAATGAACGCAGTTTCTCTGTATTTATTCGATTCAAAACGTATACTATTCGATCAATTATGTTGTAAGTTAGGCTCACCAATATTGCGATTTTACATGTTTATAGCAACATGACTGACAAATTCGATTTCCAAAAATTATTAAATGAGTTTGTGTCAAAAAGCGTTAAGGGCAACGCTGTTTTTGCACTTGAAAAATAAATGAACTCTGCTGAAGTTACATAAAATAAATGAATGTAAAATAACAATCGGATAACAATTAAATAATAAAATTGACAATTTGAAAAAATAACTTATATTTTCCCCTTCAAATACATTTTGAGGGGCGATGGAAGAGAGAGGGGCGATCCTCACTCGGGTCAAATACCCAATCGGACTTAACACCAACCGTCGGCCCTGGATGTACATATTACCAGTAGCAAACCAATATTTCAATTTAATGAGAACTGTGGTAATTAAATATGCGCAATACAATAATTAAATTATAATGATGTTTATACTGGCATATAAGTATTCAAAACAGATTTATTTATTTCAGGGAATGTAAGAAGAACGTAACTGTATCTTCGACTTGTAGATAATAATCGTCTTTTAAAATACCATTAAACACCATACCCTTAAACTTAGGCACTTCTTATTAATGTGGGTAACATCACAACTTAATTTTGCGAATTGCTACTAAATTAGTTGCTTTTAAGTATTGAAGTAAAATTTGCGGGTATACATACATATGGTAGAAAGAATAAATAAAGATTCGCAAAGAAGATACTTATATACATAATTCGCAAAATAGATAAGATAATTACAAATTAATAGTAGAATATTAAGCTAATAAATTAATATTAAACAAATAAAAAAGTGAAATAAATATTGGTAGTGTTGGCCATTACGATTTGAACAAAGGAGTCGGGCACTGGAGGGTCAAAGCAATAAAGGTGGGGCTGGGGAGTGCCGGGCGGGGTCAGAGCTCGCCGGAGAGCGCTCGTGGCGGCCCCACGGGGCACCTTCGGTGCAGCGCGGCGCGACGGCGCGCCGGCGCAACCGAGCTACATTCCAGCGGCTGCTAACGGAAGCTCCGTCGCGAGAGAGGACGATCGGTGGGCGGGCGGACCAGCGAGGGGAAACATCGGTGGCAGGCGAGTCGTGGGGCGTGGGCGCAGACAGTGAAGCGGGCGCGCGGGGCGAGAGCGAGCTAAGCGCGTGGCAGTCGCTCGCGGGCGGTGCGCGCGAGGGCGCGTAGGACAGCGCCGGGGTTGGGGCAATAGGCCGGCGGAGGTCCCGCAGTTCCGAATTGGTGCCGGCCGCGGGTCCTGCTCGGACTCCTTCGGCGCGCCTGCGACCCGCGCGCGCGCCCGCCTTCGCCCTGCTCGCCGCCTCCGCACCCCGCCTGCGCCCGCCGCCGCCCTTCGCTGCGCCCACCCGCCCGCCTGACAAGTCGCCGTACGGTCTCTGTCTTCCAGCTCGCGCGTCGATCTGAGCTTCGCTCGCACGCCCGCCTGCGCACGCGCTCTTTCTGCCCTGCCGCACCCACCCACTGCCGCCCGCCCTACTTACTTCCGCGTGCTTCTGCCGCCCCGCCCTGTTCACATAGTTGCTGGCCCAC